TTTCAACCGTCCATTTGCAAATGAAAAACGGACAACAATGCATCTCTATGGCAGTGCGGATGAAAAATGATGACCGTTCGTTTACATCAGGAAACATCAGTGTCAGTTGAGGTCAGAAATTTGAGACGGATCAGCTCCCTGTTTTGACTGACCGGGACTGATGTAACCTGATTTTCAGTTTACATCAGTTCAGGTTACATCCGTTTTTTGGGGCTGTCGTAATACAGCATGGCGAGCTCGATGCATGTTGGGGGGGAAAGCAAAGAATCATGGGAATTTACCATGATAAAAAAAAAGTCTAAAACTGATGTAAACTGAACTGACAACGGATGCGTAAACGGATTCAGTTTTCATCAATTTGTTTGTATCCGTGAACCTTGACTGAACTGATGACGCTCGTGTGAAAGGGGGCTTACTGTGTAAGATTTTGCAGCATGACATATTATGGTTTAAACTACCTGCAGTACCTTTAAAAGTCTTAAGAGTTTACATCTGTGAGTTATACATTAAAAGGCCTTGCATGTTGTTTGAAGGCAGCTGATTCAGGCACTAGAAAATCATCCCGGCAACATCTTAAAGAATACAATGAGATTGCAGAGAGCACATACAGCATGAGAGAGGCTCCAAAACCAACTCATCCCTCTGTACAGGCACATCTCTTATGACAGGAATAATTGAATGCTAATGAGAGGCATTGAGAATAGTGTAAGCACTCCGTTTATGCCTTTGTTCCACACAAGTAGAGATCTTTTTCCACGGCTCGGACTGAGCTCTGCAGACACTGCATGTCAGCTTCACTGCTGGTCAGATTGAATGAGCAGTCAGACTAAGGTCACCATCACATAATGTAAATGCATTACATATGCTAAAATCCCCATTTCCCCCTGAAATTGGATATTAACATGCCTGCAAGGCTATCTGTGTCTTGTTCAAGCTGTGGTGAACGGCACTCAGATCAAATGGAACGCAGGCAAGAACAAAGCACTTTATGCAAACCTGGTGGGTTTTACAGGTGGAAGTGGAGTAAAGGAGGAGCTAACCACAACAACCAATTAGATGTTTGCTTCAGTTTCCTAAATGGAACTAAAAAAATCAGTGACATTCTTGTTTACTATAGGCCATACGTGATATTTTATCACATCTTTTATATAAACCAACAAATACAAAGAATTACCTACAAGATTTAGAGATAACATTGCATATTGGTCTGTATACATATGTAGAATAGATACGTTTACTGGAGCTGATGAGTGAAATGAGTTTATTAATAGGGTAAGGAAGTTCATAGTGTTTCTCACATATTAATAAACATCCACAAGCCTTTCTCTTTCCAAAGACATTTTCTGCTTCTGCAAAAACTGGAACAATATTCACTGGAAAACCGTCATTATCCCACAATAAGATGGACCAATTCACAAGTGCAGTGCTGTAACACTCAGCTACTGTCATTTCCTTGGGGTGTATCTTAAAACGGCTCAGTGTTTCTGGCTCGCCATAAAAATAAGGCAAGTGGGAATCTTTCTGGGCAGTCAGAACAGTTCTCCGAGAGCAGTATGTAGAAAACCAAAGGGCACATAGTACTGCCATGGATCTTAATCCCCAGCCAATGGAGCTTTTCACTTTTTATTATGGAAGTGGAAACCTCTTTTAAAGGGATCATGTTACCTGTTCAGCCAATGCATTCTCTCCAGTGCCAGAAGCTGTCGTTGCCTGAATTCTCTAATCATTATTAGTTGTGGGGCAGGAATATCATTGATCATGATGCTTCAAACCTGTGCTCTGCCCTAAAACTAGAACCCGATCTCCAAGGATCAGGCAATGGCAGCCCCCAGCAGTGGATGGGAGCCTTAGATGTTAAAGATAACAGACATTGCAGTAGGAGACACCATATCAAGCAGGCACTTCCTTTGGATTGGAACAGTGGCATTGTATACCATTTGTCATCCAGTAGTTAATCCTGCTTCTTCATTAAGTGCTGGGATGCCCTGCAATGTGTGAAACTGTGCTAGGTTGCAGGAGCCCCAGGCACTTAACACAACTGTAGAATGTGGCACAAGTTGTATATACAGTGGGTAGCCCCTGGCTGATTTCAACATATATGTACAGGTTTAGTTGTCCTTTAAATTGTAATATAGATAGATATATATATTGATATATAAAAATACAGCTGCAATAATATAAGGAAGGATATTTCTAGTTACTTATCTAAAACTACTTAGGTTTATTACACTACACTAGGTAGCTTTTAGTCCTATGCTTTTCCAACATGATATAATTAAAAGTAATTCCATTAAAATCAAATCATAACCAGTGCTGTATAAAAAGGCATATTTTCTTATTTAGATATATAAATGTAGATTTTAAAAACTCATGTCTAACAATGCACACAGTTTGTTTCTACAAGGTGCTGCTAAAACCACTTGACCATTACTAAACCGTAAGGGGAAAATAGTAGCCCATTCTCTGCTGTGAATACTGGCTGGCTTATTCAATATGGTAAAAATCAGTAACTCACAGCAACCAATTAAAGATCAGTATGCAAAGCATAATACCTCACAGCAACCAATCAGAATTAGTTTACAACAGACCTCAGTAAATTTGTATCTGATTGGCTCCAGTTTGTACATCTCTCCTTGCAGTGATGTATTGAATAATTTGTTATGTCATAGTGATGCTTTTTCTCATCAACCTTTCGCCAAAGACTGAAGGATGCTTATAGCAAGTACAATAGACATTATAGTGTACTCTTCAACAAACCTGGCATGTATGGGTACTAAATTATTGCATACATTTTTGATACCAAAAATATTTTGGAAAAGTTTAAAAAAACAGTATTGAAGCTATTTAAACTGCTGAGAAAAGCATTCTGTGCAGATGTGGGACAATAAAAATCTAGATGTTTCTTTAGAAATAGATCGGAACCCTTAGGCCCCTTTCAGATGGGCGGCCCAATGCAAGTTTAATGGCATCTTCCGTTTCACCGCCTGATCATGCCGGATCAGGGGTAATCTGATGTAAACGGACACAAGTCTGTTTACCTCTGATTCCCCATAGACCGACATGGGGTCCGGTCATTTTAATTTTTCCTCTATTGCAAGATGGAGGAAACAAACTGGAGAAACACTAATGTCACAGCAGTGACATCAAATCCGTACCATTCCAATCAGGAGGGAATCCATGCACGGAACCCCTCCTGATCGGGCAGCATGAAAGGGGCCTTAGAAAGCAGGAAATGCACTATGCCTGTCCCCAGAATTCAATAAAAAATTGTAAATGGTTAATGCGACCTTAAGCGGTCACTAACACTTTGAAAATACCAGTAATTTAATGTGTCATGCCATTGTGAGGCATCAGTGGGTTTATAGTAAATGGAGCAAGGTATAGGGATAGGGCAACATAACTAATGTCCAGGCTACATAAAGTAATGAAGGGGTGGGGACTTGGGAGCACCTCTTTTAAAGGATTTAGGTCCTCCTTAAAGCTGCCTCACTACATTATTGTGTGTACTGCTCAATTTTTTGGGGTGCCATACTAGTAACCAACAAGTTCTAGCTTAACATCCTGAAACACATTACATACAGTATATGAAATAACATGCCATCATTGCAATTAAGGTTCATAACAAGCTTTTCACCCTTAAACTGGTAATGCCATTTAGGACAGTAACAACAGTTATACCCAACACTAAACTGCAGGCCCTTACCCCATTCTACTTTCCAACCTCATGATAAATTGTTATGGGAGCAGACAAAAGAAATGCATTGTTGGGGATATGTTTATGGAGGGGATTCTGCCTTTAAAATTACAAGTTTAATGTGTAAATAGTATAGCTATAAAATTGATATAATATTTGTTCAAGCAGAGTTATATTTTATTGTATATAATGGAAATGAATATGAAACCTTACACTGTATGCTATATCTTGCTTCCAATAGACCATGGGCGAGCATAGTTACCCAGTTACCATGTGCTCCTCACCCCAGGCTTGCCAGCAGCAGCCCCACATTCCCTGGAAGAGAATTGCTGCTGAGATTGGAAGATGCTACAGTAATATATATTTACACACAGTACATGTACATTGCACAGTAGCTTTCTCTCTATATCTGCAGTGCCTTCTGCCCATTTCGGTCTTTCAAACTGACTGTCTCACACTTGTTCTGGGGTCTTCATGGTAACTGATGCAGGCTAAATGTGTCTGAGGGATGGAGCAAGATATGGAACTAGAGCTGAACTTGCTAAACAATATAATTTCCGCATCTTTTCATGAGACAAAATACATTATGGATTGCAATAATTCCCTTACAGAAAGCATGCCGTTTAATGAATTGCTTTTTTAAGGGGAACAATGTGGATGGCTATTACCCGCTAATGCAGAATGCAAACAGAAGTACTCCTAGGTACAGGGCAGGTATGGTACTCTGTGTGATGCTGAACCAGTGTGCTCTGCCCCAGAACTAAAATGACTTCCAAGGGTGGGTAACAGCAGCATCCAGTGCAGAGTGGGAACCTCAGCTGTCCTGACAGATCCCTTCAACACCAACTTATTAATGGCCCAGGTTTACAGAGCACTGCTGTCCCATGATATGGCCACCTACTGCGCTACATACAGTTTCACAGAGGACTGGCTAATAAAAAATGGACATAAATCTTTGGAAAATAATTAATAAAAGTGCACTAGTCAATTCAAAAACAAAGTGATGTTATTACACAGTGATCTTTTTCCATGTATTTCTGAATTCAGCGAGCCATTGTTTTTCTTGTACAAAGTTTCTAGAAACTGTACAAATGGCCACCCACATAAAAGGAATTTGATATTCGCTGCTGCCCATAAATAGAACACAATTCATTAACTGTTAACAAGAATATACATATGAATATAATGTACATAAATAAATTAAATTCCTAAAAGTACCTTCATTTCAAATTCTCCTCGAAATCTAGAAAATCTGTACTTGAAGTAGTGACTTCAGGGAACTCTACTGAAAAGCTTAGAACTATATATAGGTATATACATGTATGTATGTGTATATAGCAAATGTTAAATTAAACAGCAATAAAATAAATAATCTCGTCTCCCAACCATTATTAGTTGCTATAAAAAGAAATTCTGATGTAATAAAACAAAATTCTTTATTGTTAGAAAATATGTCTCAGATTCCTGATTGCCCTACCACCATTTTGTACCCTCCCGCTCAGATGCTTTGTGTTTTGGCATGTGTTTTGGTTTTCACCTCAACGCTTTGTCATTGGAAGAAGTCGGCCTTTGAGCGCTGCCATGGCCTGGTCTGTGAGGCACTCTGCGTGCCCAGCTTGAGGTGGTGAGATTTGTAACTTTCTTTTAACCCTAGTCAGAAAATATCAGGACAGTTAGACCAGTCTTGTTTATCTTTGCACTCCCAATATCCTCCTTTGTAAACACACATTAGATCCCCAGTGTTAGAGTCGACCTTGCGTTCAAACCACAGCGGCTGATATCCTTCATAGTCATTACCTGCATTAAATGAAGATCAGTTAGTAAGAGCTGTGACAATACTGCATGTAATACATTATAGTCATACGACAACATTTATAAAACATATCATTCTACTGTACCTTCAACAGCCATTCTTTAACTGGGCTTGGCATTGTTTTAATGGCAGCTAAACTGAAGGACTAGATTGTACTTTCCTACCGATTTATATCAGATTTAAAGTTCACCTCTCAAGCCTTCCTCTAACTCTAACTTTACAAGCCTTCATTAATGCATTCTTGATATGTAACATTGTACAGAAACTATAACTTTTCAAAAGTGCTGTGCCTTTTATCATTAGAAAGAAGTTCTTGAGCTCTGCCCAAGTGACTTTTCCCTAGGCTGAGGTAATGTCATCAGTCTGCTGCTGCGAGGCGCAAACATTTCCTCAGTCTCCCGTCCCTCTGTGATCAGATGGCAGCTCTGTAACTTTGTTGCTATTCAAAAGGTGAGAGGCTGCAGCAGGGGGCTGATCTGTATCTGACATTAATGCCATGAATGGCACTTGTATCAGAATTTACATAACTGTCATGTCTATGCCAGCACCCCAGTCCAGTAAGTAGATGCTGACTCTGGATAATTCCTAAACAAAGACTCCATTCTTTTGCAGACAACAGCATAAGAAAGCATTATGCTGTGGGGGGATATATACCTGTGAACACTACACTTACTTTACTTAGTGTGGGTGCACTTAACATAAAAATATATATCTGCTATGCTGGGTCCATTTTACATAAAAATCAGAAATATCACAAAGTCCTAAATTTTGAACATGATGTTTTATTTCAACACCTTCATGACAGATTGTCTGGCAAACGAGTGAAAAGGGCAATTTCCATCCCATCTGAGGACCATTGCTGATAGGGTAAGTGGTTCTCCTTAAAGCAGAATTATGAGCAGAGTGAAATAAACTCATCCCCATAGTTAGAGCCGACGTGTGACACTGAAGCTGTCACACGTCAACTCTATTGATCACAAAGTGAGCAAAAACATACAGCTGATCACTCAGTTCCTGATCTTCTCCCTGCAGAGAGCGGTGGTTCCCTCCTCCCCTCTCCATTCCCCTAGGATTCCCCCCTCTCCTCTCAGTTTCACCAGCGCTGACTGGAGGAATGGACGGGGAGGGGGCAGGCACAGCTGTCAATCATGCAGTGGGGTGGATCCTGACAATATTGTCGGGATCTATCCCGCTGCATGATTGATAGCTGGCTCTGCTTCCTGACTTTGCACAGCTTTGAGCTGTCAGCATATAGTAGGCAACAGCCAGCTATTTGCTTAGTTTTGGGTCACAGGAGGACATTAGTATATGTGCCTGTAAAGCCTAACTTTAAATATAGTTCTATCAAAATTATTCTGAAAAAATACATTTGATAGAACTTTATTAAAAGTTGTTTCATTGCCATAGGGTGGATGCACGGTTTTGGTAAGGCGCATCAGTTGCGCTGTATTGTAAATAATAATAATGTCTCTATAATTTGGCAATACATTAAACACATTTGAGATATAAAAGTCTGATCGATATTTGATTCAAGGAATGGTAGTCAGGTCAGATTGTTAACCCAATCAAACTATGATTTCATTATGTCTCATAACACATATTTTTGTTTAATCAACCACATTTGTGGTAAAAATGTAAAAAAAATTAACCCCCCACCCCCCCAAAAAAAAGTAACCAAATACTGGATGTTAGATTGTAAATAAAACATGTATGATCTGAAAAAGTCCTGAAGGTCCATGTAATAAAATTGTTTTGACCAGAATACATTACATTATGGAGGTTAAATGTAAAACAGGAAGATGCCAGTTCTTCAAATCATACAATATACGTTTGTGTATGAGCAGCTACAATCATAGTCTGCTGGAGGAGAGAGCACAAACACTGTATACTGAAATTCTGCTGACATGAACATAAACTGGAGCACATTTGGACCACATCCTATGGCTATCAAAGATAAATTGCTTTGCTAAATTTACAAAAGGGGCGTGGCCTGGCGTAGCATGCGGTGAAACGCGCTTGTGAGTGCTCTGCGAAGAGGCTGTACCATATCCTGTAACCATATCCTATATCCTGAGCTATCTCCAACCTATATTCTGAATGTTGGAGTTGGAGTTCCCTATAATCTGGAGATCTCTCCCGCTGCCATGTTGCTGAGTAAACGAAACTCTGAGATAATTAACAAGCTCAACAAATTCTGACACACGGAAGTCGGCTCTGTTGTGGCCTCGGAGGAAGAATAGCCAGATCCTACATTGGAACACCTGGTGGCTGACACTACTAAGGTACTCCAGGCCATATCCCTTTGTCTCACTACTAAGATTGAGGAAGTTAAGTTGGATACTTTACTCATCAGACAAGACCTTCAGAACAGGTGTCTGAGGCAGGGGAGAGGATGAGTTCTTTGGAAGATCAGGTGCCGCCATTACAACAGGACTCCAGACAACTCCAGTCTCAACTACAGCCCCTGCTGCAAAGACAGGAAAACATGGAGAACTGCTTACACCGTTGTAATCTACAGTTTGTTGGCCTTCCAGAGAGAGCTGAGGGCTTTGACCCCACTACATTTCTGGAAAAGCTGCTGATATCTACTTATGACTGAGACAAATTCTCCTCCTCATTTGTGGTAGAGCGAGCTCATTTCTTGCCTCTTTGACCCCCTCCTCCGGGAGCCTCTCCTAGAACCCTTATTGCACAGCCTCCTACTTACAAGGACAGGGGATGCCATTTTGTGGCCTACTAGGGAAAATGCTAACATCGCTTTCCAGAACATCAACATCTCTGTGTATCCGTACTTCTCAACGGAGATTCAAAAGTAAAGTTCAAAGTTTACCTCAGCTAAGAGATGGCTTTGAAAACTGGGTTTTAAACATGCTATGCTTTACTCTGCCCACCTGCGTGTTATTGATGGGGCTCACACCACCTTTTTCAATCACCTGAAGGAAGTTTTCCAGTGGCTGGAAAAGCGTGGCAAATTATGGGAGTGTCAGCTCCCCTTTCTATGTTATTTCTTCTTTGATCATGTCTCCCTCTTGCCTGCTCTGCAAGTCTTCTATGTTGGACTTCGTGGTCAAGTTTACATTGCAGGCTATTGCACCTGTCATCTACAGAGTTTCTCTCCTTTCTTCCTCTATATGCTCCATGACTTCTCTTATTCGGTGAACTAATGTGCCTGGGATTACTTCATTTTTCCTTACCTCAGGGTATCTCATCAACCTGCTGGAGCAGATGCCCCTCACACCATGCTTGTATAACGCTTGATCCTGCTGCACACCACCTTACTGCTGACTGCATCCAGAGAAATTAGTTCAACTACTGTAGTATAAAGGGAGTTTTTTTTTTTTTCCCCTCTACCTCAGGGAGGCTGCAGTGGTGGATGCTACAGTCTCTGGTTCTCGATGGATATGTTATTCCTTTCATGATTTACATTTTGCTCCTTTTCGGAATGCTATGCTCACACTGGTTGGGGATTGTATAGAGTCAGGAGGGTTAGGAAGGTTTACCAAGTGTTGTGTCTCCTCCGTTATGCATATTTTGTGCACATTGGATTAATATTGCCTAACTTGGAAGGTGTAGTTGTCTTGCTGTTCCTTTTATTGTCCTCCTGCCTAACATTGCTCCTCTCATGGTTCCCATGGCTACCCTCAAATTGATTTTGTGGAACGTTAGGGGGCTTCACAATAAGGTTAAGTGCTCTGCAATATTGAATTTTGTCTAAATTTACAACAAAATAAAAATTACAGTCTGACAATATGAATAATATTGTACTTGTCCTACTGTCTTCTATTTAATGTTCTCCTTGCATGTTTAGCTATATTGTTTTTTTCCTCTACAGACATTGAGGTGCAGTACTACATGAGCTGTCTTCACTGAGCAATGGATAAGGCTCAAATTAAACCCCCAAGAAGCACAAAAATGGCACCAACATGTAAGCCACAGAATTGATATTCTGTGATAGAACCCTTATGTGCGTGTCTGAATAACATGCCTCTGGAGAAAAGTATATGCTTCTAAAGACTGACCCTTCATGTTATAAATAAAATAACAGCAGGTGCTTTACCATCTTCTAGAGCCTCTACAGCTTCTGCCTCTCGCCTTCTTCGCACGGCCCTCTGCTTCTCCTCCAGACGCTGCTTTTCCACATTTGCCTCATCCCACTTGCCATTCTCCATTAGCCTTTGGTCTGGCCTGTGTCGGCTATCGGTGGGGGCAGTGCTGTCATCAGGCTCATTAAGAGTAAGTGCAAGTTCAGAGAAAAAGTACATATTCTCCGCATTCTCACTGAAAGACATCAGAAAGAAGAAATCTGGATTTTATTATTATTATACAGGATTTATATAGCGCCAACAGTTTGCGCAACGCTTTACAATATAAGGAAGACATTACAATAACAATACAATTCAAGACAAGATGGTAAGGAGGGCCCTGCCTGTGAGCGCTTAAAATCTAAAAGGGAGGGAGAAGTGATACATGAGGAGGTAGCTGTGTGGGGATGAATTGTTTCAGAAAGTGATAGTTCAGTGGTTAGGTTGAGGTTATTAAGGCACATCCATATCTGCCAGGCATATCCCAGAGCTGGGGGCCCCACACTTTAACAAAGGACCAGTTCACTGTCCTTCAGACTTTAGGGGTGCCAGACTGTTGCCAGCTGGAACAGAAAATTCCCTGGTGACAGTAGGAGTAAACAGAATACCTAGCTTCTGTGGTAGTTGGAGGAGGAATAATGCCCCTATCACTAATATCAGTGAGGGAAATTATGCCCCCTCATTAGTGTCAGTTGAAGGAATATTGGCCCAATGGTGTCAGTGGAAGGAATAGTGCCCTGTTGTTGGTGTCGAGAATAGAGCACCCTGGGCTTTATAAAAAGGCAAGCAAAGGGCTTTTTTCATTTACTTGGAAAGTGTAATGAGGGAATTAAAGGAGAACTATGAGGTGAGTGCTTTTCACTCACCTCATAGTTCTAGCCGACCTGTGACAATGAGACTGAGATCACCTCTCGATCCTGTCTCTGCCGTGACAGGGGAGGGGCTGGATTCCCCTGGTAACGGGAGGACGCTAGTTTGTGTCCTCCCGTTACCCAAAGGAGAACTATGGGGAAAATCCCTGACCCCATAGTTCTCCTTTAACTCTGCTCTACTCTACCTTTAGCTTTCTTGATTCTAGTTTCAATACATCATTTTCAAAATAAAACAGAAAATATAAATCAAGCTTATCTTAATATCCTGGTCACATGTTTCCTTTACACCAGGGGTCCTAAAACATTACTGTATAAGCAAAGGGCCAGTTCACTGCCCTTAAGACTTTAGGGTCCAGACTGTGGCCAGTGAGAGTAAACAATGCCCCAGGTCCCAAGGTCAGTGGGAGTAAAAAAATAACCTAGACCCTGTGGTCGGGGGGGGGGGGGGGGGGGGATAATGCCCCATTGTTTGTGTCAGTGAAATGAATACTGTCACGTTGTTGGTGTGAGCAGGAAAAATAGTGCCCCAAGGGTTGGTAAAGGCAGACAGAAGGCCACATCTATAATATATATAACTAAACTCCAAGCAGACCACTAAATACACAGATGCAATACATACTGTATATGGGAGCTGTTTTACCTGCTACAGCATTAAAAGTATTTTCATCCATTAAATTCTGAGATTTCAATAGTCCTACCAAACAGCCCGAACAACCTGGAGATCTGACTGTTCCCTACTGTGGGTAACAGTATACTGCAAATAGAAGTCTTTCCCCTCCAAAGCAAGTTATACTCACCCATCCATGTTTCAAGAGTACCCTCACTCCAGGTAGTGCATGTGACCTTTCCCATGTGGTAGTGTTCTGGCTTGAGTAGTCAGTTACCAGGCCTGAATAATATCAAATGGGGATAGGCAGTGATGTCATCCATCCGGGTAAACACTTAAACAGGAGCTCACCCAGAGTGGACTCCTACAAGAGGAGGCAGCAAGGAGCATACAAATATTTTTTTCCAAAGAGCAGGGGCTATCAGGAGACATTGTCTATTTGCCTTTAATGGGCAAAGGGAAAGTGTCTGTAAGTAATACAATAAGGACTTGTCTCTGGCCACAGCCTGTGAAATGGACAGCGAAAGAGAAGCAGCAGAATGATGAGATTATCTTTTATGTGCACATGAGCACTGGTATACAATGGACTCGCTCCTTTTGCTGTATATTTGTCACCCAGTGAGAGATCTGCTCCATAGAGGATTGCAAGAGGCTGAAACCAGGTCAAATTCAGGAACTTACACTAGTTGCTTCTAAAAATAAATTTAATTTTTTTCTTTTTTTAAGGAATGCTATTTTTTTTTTTATCTGCCCGGAGTGCAGCTTTAAGCCTTTGTTTAATCAATCATCACATGTAGAATGCAAGTAGCAGGCATGATAGTTCAAATAAGCAGTTGAAATGCTGCCCCTAAATAGACCAACATTCCAATGTGATCCAGAAAACAATTTACTAAAGGAATGAGAGCCGTATTAAAAATAATGACAATCAAAAATGCAAATTATTTATTTTTGAAAGAAATCTCTCTATATATGGAAATTGTTCATCGTTCCAGTCATCTTATGTGTGTAGCAGAGTTACTGTAACATAGACATCACAGTGATTCCACTGCCCACTGCTCTCGGTGGTTGTTCACTCCTAAATATGTCTCCTCAACCACTGTCTGCCCAGAATGATTTTCGGTCATGTCACATCCGTTTAAGTATCACCCAATTTATCACAGTTTTACACCCATTCCATAAAACATAACATTTTTTGTGACATTTCAGAGCACCATTCTGTACTTGAGATTTTAACCAAGACCCACAGATATGGAACTGGTTTAAATCAGGGCCCCTCACACAAAATCTTTTTCCCAGTTTTTTGTGGTAAAATTAGGTACCTCGGCTTATATTCGGGACGGCTTATACTCGAGTATATACGGTATATCTGTCATTCGGCCCACTACTTGCTACAATTGAATAAAACTGGGTAAAATTTCAGCTTTTAATAAACCTAAAAAGAAAGCCCTCCCATTTACCTCTAACCCCTGCAGGGTTTTTATTTCTTTATCATGTGAAGCAAGTTATACTCACCTAATTCTCCAGTCAAAGTCCCTCGCTGGTGCCATTTCCAGGTACAGGGGAATGCTAATTCAGCGCTGCAATGATCCCTTGCCAGTCAGTCCCCTACTGTTCCCTTGCAAAGACATCACTCTTCTTCTGGATCATGGGAGGGCCCACTGCTAGACAGCCAATAGGATGTGTCCATGTCACGCAGTAACATGGACATCCAAAGTAGGGCCCTGCCAGATATAAACAAAGGGAGAGAGAAGACTCGGCAATGGATGCTCACGTGACCGGACTTTTGTTGAGTAAAATGGGCATTTAGATTGTTTACTGCCAGCGACAAGTTATTTTTATCTCCAAGATGGGCTTTAAAAGTACAATAATAGCCTGGTCCCATCTGATAGTGAATCTGCAAGATGTTACATCCCTGCCATAAAGGCTGCCCACAGCCTGAAGTGGGGAGACACAGGTATGAGACACACCTTGAAGTGCTTGATGCTGAATATTTTAGGGGCAGGTGTAGTTCTGCAAGAGAGCAGAAACTGGATTCACTAGCTGCAGGACTAGTAAGTATTATTACTTTTTTTTTTTTGCAACAGAGTCACTGTAACTTCCATTTTAGCTTAAGGCATCTTTTATCCATGCTACAAAGATACAGATACCAGAAATCCTCATATATTAGGTCCACTCCAGAGTAAAAGTCAGGTTTAAAGGTCAGTTCCTAGTGCAGCTCATTTTTTAGCCTGTTTTTGTCCTTTGTTAGACCTTACTGATGCCCTTGTTTTAAGTAACTGTCATTATAGCTATTTCATGAAAAATATTCTGGCAGCAAAGGTTAATAAAATCTGTGTGCATGCAGCATTAGAGGGATGCTGGCTTATTACAAAGTGCAGAACAGACAGTATGTGTGTTAAGAGCGCTACTACTGTTTGAGTGCAATTAAACAATCATAAAATGTAACAATCCTGTTTCACACTTAGGATGAACAGGATACAAAAGTGACTCACTTTTAGATGTCCTGGGGAGCCTTGGAGATGGTCCGAGAGAAACACTATGACAGACAGACATCTAAAAGGGAGTCACTTTGTATCCTGTTCATCATAAGTGTGAAACAGGATTGTTACATTTTATGATTGTTTAATTGCACTCAAACAGTAGTAGCGCTCTGCACACATACTGTCTGTTCTTTGCTAACACAGGGTTCCTCTCCCTGTTTCTAAGAGCCGCACACTGTTTTCACAGCCCGGTTGGAAGCCTAATTTGTACCTTTGGTAGTGCGCTTGTTCCTTTTTGTCCGTGCTTTTATTACAAAGTACAGTAAATCAATGCAAAACATTTCTATTTCAGAGTCACTTCAAACACAAAAAACAAGATTAGTAAAAATCCATATATTAGCACTATAAACTGATGACCTTTATTTAAGGAAAGCCTGTGTTCAGAAAAATATACAGACTGCCATTGCTGATCTTTCCTCCTCAAAATGTCTTCCTTTCACGCTGATCAAAAGACTAATATTTGAAGCCACTAACCTAGGTCAAGAGTAAGAGACTTACCTGCAAACTGGTCCCTGCTCAAAGATGCACGCACACACGTGTATGCACTCCTATGCTAAAAGTTTCAGGCAAATGCATTTCGGCACATAGACGACTGCATAGGGACGCACGCTTGTTAACTCACGGGAGCATGCTCATTAGCGTGCTTGCTTTGCCTAATAAAACAGGCAAAGGCCATGATCAAGTTGCTTAGTGGTCGTCAGCCTGTCCCTGTGTTCTGTTCCTGCATTCCAGATCTCCTGTGTTTGAACCCAGCTTGTGACCATTGCCTCCTCCTCCTTCTGACTTGGTACCTCAACTCTCTGATCTCCCGTATATAACCCTGGCTTTGAACCTGACTTTGCTCCTGGTCGGCCACTTGGCGCATCTCCTCCATCATTACTCTGAGCCACCTCATCCAGCCAGTGCTTCTCCAACTCCACACCTGTTGTTTGATCTGGTTCCAAGAGATTCAGGTGTCATCTTTGTCCTGCAAACTCACCAGCTGGTCCAACAACCTCAAGGGCCTCTGTGAAACCCAGCCAGCCACTAGTAACAGCGCCTGTGCCTCTCCCCGTCCTTACATCCCCTGTCACCACCTCCAGAGGTGTGGGACTAGAGGTGCACGGGTATCCCCCTTCTCAGTTGGGTCTCCATTCAAATATAAGATAACAAGTATGCAGACCAGGTTTTCTGTCTCCATGTGTTTCATGCTTTTCTGGGTCACTTGACTCAGAGACAGACAGGCAACTAGTGTTTTTAGAAATAAACCAGCAGTGGCAGCCAACACATTTCCCTCTGCACAAATAGGCAGCAAACAGTTTTATCAATTTAGTGTATTTAAACCAATGAGATTTGGCTTCAGGATACTGCACATACTTTGCCCCGATATCATTCCCTAAAATTATAAATAGTAATGCATAGGGCTGCGGAAATTAACGATTAATTTCTCGATTAATCGTTAAACTTTTTGATCGATTAAAATTATTTTGATCGCTAATGAAAACACTCACCTCTCCGCCGGCTTCCGGGAGTCCCATCGGAGATCCGGTGACGTCACTGACATCGACGTCACCGGACTCCTCCCCCCTTCCCTAAGTGGCTCCATCGGTTAACGAAGGGAAGGGGGGAGGAGTCCGGTGGCGTCGATGTCCGTGACGGCTAACGAAGGGAAGGGGGGAGGAGTTCGGTGACGTCGATGTCCGTGACGTCACCTGACTTCCCCCCCTTCGTTAGCCGATGGAGCCACTTGGGCCGGTGAGTTTGCCGAAGAAACTTTCTGCACGAGCGCCAGCCAAGGCATTGGCCAATACACATACAGCACAGCAATGAAGTAATAAAATTAACTAGGATCACACTATTCCAGCACGTTATTATTCTGAGTTGCCCCACTCAAGCAGCGGCCATATTGAGTGGGCCACATGAGATTAATAACGTGCTGGAATAGTGTGATCCTAGTTCATTTTATTACTTCAATGCTGTGCTGTATGTGTATAGGCCAATGTATTTGGATCTGTATGTGCGTTATAATTAATCGAAGTTAATCGATTAAAAATGTTTTCGATTAATCGAACACGGAAATTTTAATCAGTAACAGCCCTAGTAATGCAATCAAGCTCGATTTGCTAGCTGTTTGCACTCAAGATACTTTATAACAGTGCATCTTGTCATTAAAAGCCATTACAGTCAATCAAAATTTCCTTTAGCTGCAACATCACATGCATATTTGTGTTCATCTGCACATGATTTATTGATATATGGAACATGTAATACATTAAGATTATGTCTAGGAATCAAAAACTTAAACATATAGTATAGGCTTCTTGTGGAAGGAGCTACAGGAATATTGAGTTGTCAGCTAAATATACGTTGGCCCTCTTATCTTGTATTCCCCCCCCCCCCCCCCATAGCAAATATAAACTGAATTTTAAATGTTAAGATGAAGAAACTGAAGTCTTTTGAAATCTCACTTTTCAATATACTGTGTTAGCTTAAACACCATCAATGCAGCAGCCAGTAATCTTGGTATAACCACTTCAGGCCATTTATATACTGTACATACGACGGCCCTGAAGCAGTTAAAGTGCACCGGTGGCCAGACTATGGACATTAAACTATTTACATACCCAACAGTAAAAGAGCTTTACATCAAGTAGTCACACACCTATAGCGGTTTGTAATGTGAAGTAATTGAAGATCATCTAAAATCACAACAAAGACTCTGAAGTCAGGTATCAGTTTGCTTCTGAGACCCCTTTCACATGGACAGCCCAATCAGATTTAGTTTTTCAGGTGGATCTGATTAGAAGCCCAATGTAACTCTATGTGCAGCTGGATGTAAAATGGACATCTGTCTACTTCTGAGTCCGTTCCGTAAAAAAAAAACAGAGAAGGTTTGCATCCTTCTCTATTTTTTGGGCCCATAGACCTAACCTGGGTCCATTCGGTTCAGAGCAGAGGGATGCCTGTGTGAAAAGGGCCTAACTGCTTAGAAACATCTACTGGTTGTTTATATTAGAGGGATGGCAGCTTGCCACGATCTTCTCTCCATAGAAAAAGCTAACATTTCTGTACATCTGTTGCAAATTTGCAAAAAGTACATTTGTTCACAATGCCTTCACCTACAGATGTGAGTGAGGGCTTATGATTTTACTGCTTGTAAAATGTAAATACGTTAGCGTGCATAGTCTGGACACAAGTGTATTTTTAAATTGTCTTCTTTGAAATAAATCTGTCATGAGAGAAATACAGGGGCTGCCAATGGTGACCTCATGCTGACAGGTTAACATGAGAGTTCACCTATGTCAGGGATCCCAACCTGAAAGAAGCCATTTCAGGGAGGTGTCCTTCTCATTTCAGGGCACCTCCCATCCATCCGCGGAGGGGGGTTAGGGGGGCTGGGAGAGAGCACCCCCCTGAAATGATGGCAGATAGCACAGGAAGCAGTAGCTTCTTTGCTATCTGCAGGTTTTTTTTCTGATTTTGTTTTTAGTATTCTGACAGTTGCAGTCGTCAGAATATTTAAAAAAAGGCATAAGAATGCATAGCTAGATTCCTATTGGCTATTGCACTTTGCAATAGCCAATAGCAAACTAGCTATTGCACCCGCCCTCTGCTGCTTTCAATCACCAGAAGAGGACCTGATAGAAAAATTCAGGTCCCCCTCTGCTGATTGACAGCAGCAGTGGGCGGGTGCATTAGCTAGTTTGCTATTGGCTATTGCAAAGTGCAATAGCCAATAGGAATCTAGCTATGCAATCGTATGCCTTTTTTTTTCTTTTCTGACTGACGGTCAGGCCGCGCGTCCCAATGTCAGAAAAGAAAAAAAAAAAACGATCGCAGGGTAAGTGTTTCTCTCCCGGGCGGCCGGGAGCCGCCATCCAATAGCGGGAGACTCCAGGAGCGTCCGGGAGAGTTGGGATGTCTGCCTATGTGACCATTAAAGAAGCACATCTGCTCAAAATATTTGTGGTGAAAACCCTTATACTTTGCAAATAAATGTCTCTGAATTCCCTGATCCTAGCTGGTGTATTTAGTAAGGCAGTACGAAGATCATAATTCTGACAAGTGCAGAAATCGATATCAGCCAACAGAAACCATCTCCAATCTGATTCCAGAAAGCATATTTGTTGCTATGGGTTACTACACTTTGCAATGCATAAATGAATCTGCATTACTCACTTTCATATGTTCAGTCCCTATTACCTGTGTCTCTTAAAAACCAGGTGAAAGAAAATAGAAATGAATCTGCATTGGCTGTCCATGTTGTAAAGACTTACGGGAGAGGGTATTTCTTCCACAGTAGCTTTGGCGGAAGGGTTTGGTACACAGTCTTCTGCTTGCCTTCTCCACTACCATTGCCTTGACTGCTTTGCACAATCTTTGCACATTCCATCTTTTCATCCCACGTTCCTGATAGAACATAATGTGCTTTTCCGTTTGCATCAGTCACAACCCCAGTGACCTAAAACAGATCAGAAAAGTAAGTCAGCTGCAGTTTTATTGGGAGTCTCCAAACATATATGTCATCTAAAGTCATCACAGTACGGCTAGTAAAAAAAAAAAAAAAAGAAAGCGTAAAAGGAAGACTGCAGGTGTTGCACATAGTCAGATGCTGGAGGTATCACATCCATTTTCCTTTAGGTTGCCAGCCCTGATACTGAATTAGAACTGATCCACACATTTTATTACCAGCTCCCAGCAAAGGTGACTTTTTTTTACCTGAAAAAGTCTCCTAACAGCATATTGAGCACAGTACTTCCAGTGGTCAATTCCATTTCAATGTAAAATCGGAAAAGTTTGACTCTACTGTATCTCTAATGTATTTACTCTATAAGCCATATAGGAAGTAGACAATGCACCCCATATAACTAGTAGACGATGCATGCCATGTAGGAAGTACCTAATGCATGCTATATAGGAAATAGACAATGCACCCCACATAGGAAGTAGCTGATGCATGCCATATAGGAAGTAGCTGATGCATGCCATATAGGAAGTAGCTGATGCATGCCATATAGGAAGTAGATACTGCACGCCACATTAGGAAGTAGAGGATTCATGCCACACAGGAAGTAAATACTGCACACCATATAGAAAGGAGATGATGCACGCCACATTAGGAAGTAGAGGATGCATGCCACACAAGAAGTAGATACTGCGCACCACATAGGAAGGAGTTGATGCCCGCCACATAAGAAGTAGATTCTGCGCACCACATAGGAAGTAGTTTCTGCACACCATATGGGAAGTAGATACTGCAGGCCACACAGGAAGCAGATAATGCACGCCACATAGGAAGCAGATAATGCATGCCACATAGGAAGCAGCTAATGCATGCCACATAGGAAGTAGATACTGCACGCCACATAGGAAGCAGATAATGCACGCCAAATAGCATACAGACTATGCATGCCACATAGGAAGTAGATACTGCACGTCATATAGGAAGCAGATGGTACACGCCACATAGGAAGTACACAATGCATGCCACATAGGAAGTAGATAATGTACGCCATATACGAAGTAGAAATGCACAGAACAGCACCACCCACCAAGTCCTATTCACATGAATGAATTAGCCAGGTACAGAATGCCTTACAACTGTGTGTACAAACACTTCACAAATCACATCCAAGAGATTTTATTAGCATAGGACATCAAGCTGTATGGATGAACTTTGTTTTATTTGGAGGCGTTTTTTAACTTTTCTTTTGAACAGGTGACAATAAGTCACAAGGCCCATTATATGCCAAGCTTTTCTACACACAGTGTTTCTTCCAGGCTGCTGCAAAATGCTAGTTAAAAGGGAGGCTTCGTATGCAAACAACCATATGTTCACTGTGTGCTTAGTGGCAGATGAAGCTGGTTTCATCTAAACAGTCTTCTGTTATAAGATGGTCCTAAATGGGTAGTAAATATTTCCATCCTTTAGACAGTTGTGGCCAAACAGGATCCTACCTTGGCTATCTGTGTGGGAGCTGGCACCGTCTCTCAAAGTGTTCTGATCCCTCCAATATGCACACACATCTTTATATGTGTGTGCTTTGTATGTGTGTGTGATGTGAATGTTTTGTAGTAAAATGGATTATGAGGTATCACGGCATTCTATGCAGTCAATATCTCAGAAATGTCAATATACAGACTTCTAAGCTGCTGTCATTCAAGGAATGCAATATTGATGAGTCTGTTGACAAGCATTTGCAGCAATCACTAAGCTTAGTATGGCAAGATCCTATTGCTTCGATTATTTATGCTGACCTGAAAGAAATCTATAGCTTACAAAAAGTAAAAGAACAAAGGAGACGCAATTGGCAGGAATTCATTGAATTTAATAAGTTCACAAATGAATTCCTTGTTTCAGTTACACTATAATCTGGGCAATACGTTCACAAGGAAACATCTTGTTAAATGCCAGGTCACCTCTTTCTACAAGAAGCTGTGTGTGTGCAAAATACATACTTTTAATGGCAAGCAAACAAGGAACACTGATGAGAAATATACAGTATGAACATGCTTAATGCTGGGCACACACCTTACAACCATGGCAAGACTTTTGTCTTGCCATGGTTTAAGGTACTTAAAAAAACGTACGATCTGCCTATCTTGGACAGGCAGATCGTACCCAATCGGCATTGCGGTCATCGGAAGCCCGCCCCTCAGGGGGGCGTGGCTTGCGATCATCGCAAGTACGATCTGCCTGTCCAAGATAGGCAGATCGTACGTTTTTCTATAAACCTTACAACAGGGGTAGCCAAACTCCGGCCCTCCAGCTGTGGTGGAACTACAAATCCCATTAGGCATTGCAAGACTCCCGGAGAAAGATGCATCATGGGATTTGTAGTTTCACCACAACTGGAGGGCCGGACTTTGGCTACCCCTGCCTTACAACCATGGTTGTAAGGTGTGTGCCCAGCATTACTCTACAAGGCAGCAATCAGCATGAAGCAACTGTGTCACTACCTGCTGGGATTCACGTAATGCTTGATCAGTCTGCTCCATGTCATTTCACTACACATATGCCTGATAGGCACTAGCTGCTCTTTAACTCTTTTGTGACCAAATGTAAGTGTTGCCCAGGACAAACTTAGCAGCATAAGTATGACTCTGACTAATTAATATAACTAATAATAGACCAACATTAGTCTATAACAAGGGTAGGCAACCCTGGCACTCCAGTTGTTGTAGAACTACAACTCCCATGAGGCAATGCAAGACTCGGACTGCCCCAGGCATGACTCGCAGAGGCATGTTGGGATTTGTAGTTTCACCACAACTGGAGTGCCGAGGTTACCTACCCCTGGTCTATAATGTTTTAAATCCAATTCAGATGTTTCTCATGACAGACCTAGTGGAGCAGCACTCCTTAGCCACTTCTGCTCTGCAGAGTATTAGTACTTCCTACTTTATCAATTGTAGTTCATGCAAACATGGCAAAGTTATATTAATAAGGGCTCCAAAATGCTATTTTGTCATACTTATTGTGGTTACCTTCACTCGTTATATAGGAAATTAAAATTGACATATGAAACCGTAATACATTTTGTTGCATGTAGTCAGAAATGTATAATGCAGACTTCTAAAACACACATTTGATGGCTGTTTAATAAATACATAACAAATAAAGAAAGTGTATTCTTTGGGCTGGGCACAATTATATCTTACATACGGTACTCTGTCATGTTTAGATCTGACAATATAACCTATTAATAATTTTGTTTAAATTCCTGCTGCAGGAGGACATCTATTATGCAAACAAGCTGATCTCTTAATGCAGACTTCAACAATTATTTTGAGTCTGTGCTTGTCCAGGATGAAGATCACTGAGAATGAGTGCTTGCCATGTTTCCGTTGCATCATCATGACTGACAGCGTAGCTTATAGGTAAAAAAGGAGAGAACAGCAAGCGGCAGCAATTCAGACCTTCACAGTTATACAGCCGAGCAGGAACAGTGACTACATATAGGTCTATTTTCCCTTTACTTTCTTCAGATATGTATGTTTTAGAGGCACATGACCCCTGAAAGAAGTATTTTATTTACAGACAAGGTTGTTGTTTATTCGTAATCAGTATGGGGATTATGTCAAGTGGTCAGTCTAGATTCAGACAGTGCTTAATTGTGCTCTTCTTTGAAGCAGCTCTAGCAAATAAGCAGGATATACAGTATACTATATAATAGGTTTTATAAAGGGTGTGTTTGGCAACACAGTCTTCTTTCATAAGCTTAAATGGGTCTAAAATACCAACTGCAGCTAAGGGCAAAATCAATAGGTTTGCCTTAATGCTCCCCCCCACAGCAGTATATACTCACCTTTCCTTCAAACCCCCCGCTATTCCATTCAGAATATACAAGGGAAGACATTTAGGTCTCGTTCACAACTAGGCGTATTGCATATGCGCGTATGTCGCGCGACCGTCGCACGTTTTTTTTTCTGCGATTCGCGGTAAAAAAGTTGCGCGACAAACGCGCGTTTCCGAAGGCTACTTGGCTGTATCCCAATGGAAACGCGCAACAGAACGGCCCAAAGTAGTACATGTACCTTTTCAGGCGTGGGCCGTTTTGTAGCGCGTTAGGGACGGGCGGAAATACACCAAGGTGGGAACGAGACCATTGAATACAATGGGATTTATATTTTTGAGCGTTTTGTAGAGCGTTCGTCGAGCGTAGAACGCGCTACGAAACGTTCAGGTGTGAATGAGGGCTTAGAGTCACAGTCTTGTGCATCTTCAGTAATAATATCTTTACAAACTGTCGCACTTGGCTGTCCAGGTATACATATGCACAGGACTGTAAACCTGTTGCAGAGACTTTGCTGAACTAGAAGCAGCCTGATGTGTGACTAATTATGCTACTAATTTGCGTGAAAAAAATTCCCCCAAGGTACCTGATGTACAGGAGCATGTGACTGTGCTGGTGATTGGCCCTGCTTTGTCACGAGGGACACTAAAGTGAACCTATATTATACTTTATATGTGCAAGTGATTGGGTACCTGAATCACAGGGAAACAGATGGCTGGCTTTGACAATTAAACAAATTCCTGACTGCTATAGTAGCTGGGAGTCAGTTTGCAGGTCAGTGCTACCACAATTCTTATATTGGTGGCAGCAAAAGGGTTAAGAGAGAACTATGGGGTAACCTTTTTATCCCATAGTTCTCTTTAGGGTCATGGGAGGACATATACTAATGTCCTCCTGTGACCCAATTATTATATTGCCCGCTATATACTGAGAGCGTCACAGCCGGGACAGATCCCGGCAATACTGTTGAGATCCACCCAGCTGGCTGATTAACAGCGGGCTCTGCCTATCTAGAGGCAGAGCCTGCTGTGCCCACCCCCTCCCCGTCTGTTCCTCCCATCAGTGCTGGAGGACCGGAGAGGGGAGGAATCCCTGTGGGGAGCGGTGACTGACTGGCAGGTAAAATATCGGGAAGTGAGCAAGCAATGGTATTACTTACTTTGTTGCGTTTTGCTTTATTGTATGTTAATTGTTCTGTATGCCTGTTTGTTTCTTTTGTGTGATACATTGTTTGTATTTTTCTTTTTCTATGCAAAAGTAATCAAAAAATAATTTTATAAAACAAATGTAGGTACTTACACTGCCTGCTTTAAAAAAAATGAATGAGCTATGAATGAATACAGAACTGCATTCATATTTTCCTTGAGTTCAGGTTTAAGACACATACATGCCTGAAAATGCACACATGATTCTTACAGCATATATTCTGCCACATTACCTTTCTTGCAATGTCCCTTGAGAAGTAGCTGTATGGGGTGAATTTCATTTGGCATTTGTCCTTGGTTTTATAGTTTGTAATTTCAATATCTCCAGACTATAGAGGAAAAAGGAGATTATAAAATTAAAACTGTATGCTTAAAATGAAATAAAAACCAAACAAAGTCAAGCACACACCCTGTGACAACCATAACAGTTGATCCTTTTTACTGTGAAAACCGCTTTATTAGCTTATTTCAAATTGAGAAAGTCATCACGTCTTATCTATCTGTATATGTCTTACAAGGCAATTGGCAGCTACAGAGCCTACATTCAAGAATCAGCTGTACGTCTTATGGAACAAGGAACACGTTCTTTTTTTTCCGGCTGGCCTGTGTCCTAAAGTGTGTGAATTTTGGTATTTATGTGGATTTTCTGTTAAAGCTAAATAATATCTGTAGAAATATTTTATGTGGGTCTTGCTTATTGTATAGGCACTAAAAATGGTTGACTTGGATATCTGTCTCATGAATGTAGGGACACATTGGCACACATTGACACAGACCCCTCACTAGATATAATATAATCCATATAAGCTCTAATCATCTGCCTTTCTTAGGACAATACTAGGGCTACAAGTTTAAACCCAAATTACCTTTGACCCCATCACTATTGTGCTTAGTTCTGCGATTTATTTTTAAAAAATGCATGAGAAATTCCTGAAGAAAAAAAACCACGCTTTCCCAAAAAAAATCTATTACGGATATCATTGTTGACATTGGCCACGTTCAAAACATATGTGTGGCTTTGAAATAGTGGCTTTGCCAGAATAATTATTTTTTATGCTGTTGTTTTTGCTGTCTCTTCATTCACATTTTTCTATGTCCTAGAGACTGTACTTTCTCCAACTGACTCCAATGATAGGCTACATTGCCAGCAAAATGTTTAAAACATATGCCTGGCAATACAGAAGATAGACACAAGTCCATCATCAAAGAGGCACAAATGGCATTTCCCAAACCCCCTTTTTCCTCATTTTAAAGGCAGTTCCAGATTTTATTATATTCTATTTCCATCCGTCTTTTAAAGGCAGAAAGAACTGTAGGACAACAGGACTCGTATGTGTGCAATAAAAAAAAAGCAAAAAAAGGATGGAACTAGTGGGGTGGGCCACATTCTTAGAAGCCTATATTATCCTTCTTTACTTATAGGTAACTACATTCTTATTTAAACGGTTTAGACATAGTAAACTGACCTGATCTATCCAGAGCTTGCCCACAATGATGTTATGGACAGTTGATGTGACTTTCTTCCAAACGTAGTGGTTCCCACTGGATGGAAAGTCCAGATGGATATCCCCTAATTAAAGACACACAGACTGAATTGAATATTTTGGAGCCATTGGTAGCATTTCGCTTTTACATTGTATACTGTCAGTCTCTAAATATGTTACTTCTTACAATTACTTTTCAGTTTACTCAAAATCAAACCCAGCCAGTGTTCATTCGGTCTTACCTAGTGGCATAATTGAGAGATATTTGCCCCTGAATTTACTGGCAATTGTAATTTCTTGCCATAGACTCCAGCCATTCTTGGAGTAAACATGATGTGCAGCTGCTGGCGGGTGGTGACTGACCTGCCAAAAATAAAATGAGATCATTAACTGAATGCAAATGCTGCAAATGTGTTTGTGTTTTGCATAACTATTTGATGTGGATTGGAAAGGACAAACATCACATTAAAATGACGCAGCTATGACAGGCTCCTCTGATTTTTAATTTATGTCAGCCTAGTTTACTGCAGTTATTTCTCAAGAGTAAAATGGTTATGCAGAGTTGAAAGGGACCATAATAACAAGAAAGTTCAGAAATCTTTGAAATGATTGGTATAGTGAAGAATTGTGAGCACCTGTTTAATCAACCCTTCCACCAAGAATATACTTGTACTTCTCAATAAACTGTCCCCTTCCTGTGCAGAGTAGTTCAAGTGTCTATCATAAGAACCAACCAGAATGCCTCATCAGAAACAGTAAGAACCAAACCTTCCTTCTTAAAAGGAGAACTATGGGGTTAAGGCTTCCCCATAGTTCTCCTTAGGGTAACGGGAGGACACAAACTAGCGTCCTCCTGTCACCCTAGGCTCAGTATACCGCGAGCTGTAACTCGTGGTATACTGAGACGCCACAGCTGAAGCGGATCCCGACAATTGTGCCGGGATCTGCCCAGCTGCGTGACTGACAGCTCGCTCTGCCTATATAGAGGCAGAGCCAGCTGTACCCGCCCCCTCCCCCGTCCGTTCCGCCAGTCAGCGCTGGTGGATCGGAGCGGGGGGGAATCCAGCCCCTCCCTTGTCACGGCAGAGAGCCGTGACAGGATCGAGAGGTGAGCGAACGCCGGTATGTGTTCGCTCACCTCCCGATCTACTGAGCCGACCTGTGACAGTCTCATTGTCACAGGTCGGCTAGAACTATGAGGTGAGTGAAAAGCACTCACCTCATAGTTCTCCTTTAAACAGCCATTTTCATATGGAAGATTGATGTATTTGTCTGCTGTGATGCAGACAATATTTATGAAAGGCGCTCTAATAAGTAAGGCCCATTGTCATGTGCAAAGATTTAAAGAGAAAATATAGTACAGCAGTTTGTCAATTTATAACCTTCTATTACATGAACACGGGTGTAATCTGTTCCTGCTTCTGTTCACAAGGGACTGAGCCAACTTTTTTTTCGAATCAATGGTGGAGTATCAAGAGATACACATTTGGTATTTACAATATTTGGAGTTCTCTTTTTTTTATATCAGATGCATCAACCACTTACAGTGTATAGAGTATAAATGGGTGATACATATACTATTGAATGCCTGTGGTCTCCCATCTGCTGAGGCCCTATTGAGGACTACCAGTCCAATTTGACATTTATCTTGCTCCGCTTGTGAGTATATTGTGTTGTATTATAATCTTTTACCAATAAAAAGGATTATTGCACCAGGTCAGGTGCCCGGTGTTTTCTCTTCTTTCCTATGCAGTGTTCAGGATCCCTTATCTTTTACGGGGTGGCCGTGCTGGATTCCAAGTAACTCTTTGGACCACAGGAGGGTTCCTTTTGGTTTTGGTTGTGTTTATTTGGCGCTGGTCAGTCGTGGTTATCTTTTTATAGCTTTTATTTCCTAACTTGTTCAAACAAAATGGTGGCTACTATGGGCAACATCAATATTTCTTTACTTCTGGTAAGTCGCTCACTGTGTCCTTTATTTTTGGGGGTAACACAAGCCCTCTGTTGTTGCCATTTAATCTAGGATTCCACAATTCATTGAAAATTTTATAGCTGAACTATGTAGTATTTTGCCTGTAAAAAAATATTTTTTTTCTGTATAATTCCCTAGAAACACAAACTAATCTCCGTAATTCTGCACAGCTGGGATAAAATAGGTTAAGCCATCATTGCAAACTTGTAGAGGCATAAGTGACGTGTGTTGTGGATGGATGTAGTCTGGCGGCAAATCGGTTCTAGCATGGATATTTTACAATGTCTTTCTTGTGAAAAATAGAAATGTCTGGACTTCTGTTTTTTCCAGATCAGTCAATATGGATTTAGATATGTGTAGAAGTCCTGTCTGCAGGAAAGCTCAGGGTAATTAGACTCATCTTTTTTTGGTCAATGGCTCATTCCAGCTGACAATTGATGAGTAATATGTTTCACAGTTTGAGTGCTTATCAGTCTGTATTGATCGGGATGTCATAGAGAAACCAGAGCAAGATAAAATATAGTGCCATCCATATAAAATAGATACACTTCCTGTAAATAATGCACATGCCACACAGAAACAGCAGCTTCATTTTTAAAGCAGGGCACACATGTACTTTAATGTCACTTTTGTACTGGGTAGACATGCACACTAAAATTTTATAATATGGCAACTGTATTTGGTAAAATAAGGAATAGGTAAATGTAGGCTAAATGAAAATAAATCTATTAGTGTATGGTCAGTTTAAGGCCTGACCATGACCATGTTTTTTTTGTGTTCACTAAAGTGAGAATAGCCTGCAAGTAGCCCAAACTACTCTATAAAATGCACTTTTGGCATTCATACATTGAAACAACCCTTCCTTAATTTGTTTAAAGTCCGGTGAGGTATGTTTAAAGCTTATTAGGGTGCTGTCTCGAGCTTCCCTCTCCAGGACAAATCCCACTTGCATTATCAGGGAGAGGAATAAAAGGTAATATACCATTTGCCAAAATCTTGGCACACAGTTTGACATCCACAATGGGGAGCGAAATAGGCCCATAACTGGAAACATTGGTAGGGTCTTTTCCGTTTTTTGGCAAAAATAAGATACACAAATACAGTGTTACAAACATAAAATTTACTTCAGAATAAAACTGCATGCACAATTTTTTGCAATATCACTGCACTGGAACGCACTGCATTGCCGTACCGTGCGTTCCAGTGCGGGCGATCACACTGCGGGTGGGAGGCGCATTTGGAGTGTCGTTTAAATAAATGACTTTTTCCCACCTTCTATATATATTTTTTTAAATAATTGTATTGTAAGCACATGGAGCTTCATCCAGCGAATGACAGCTGCCAGTGGCAAGATTCTGCAGACAGCAGCTGAATGTAACTACATCAGGTGCAATAGCCAGCCTGCTATTGTCCATTTCAAATTGCAACAGCCAATTGCAGGCTGGCTATTGCACCCTCCCACTGCTTGGGGAGAGAGCTAATTGTTAATGAAAATAGTTGGCAAACTATTCTCATTATTAATTATCATTGATTAGTTGGTTGCAGCCCTAGTTGAAAGCTTTAGGTAGTGTGTGTGTGTGTGTGGGGGGGGGGGCAAAGAGTCTGCACAATGATATAATATTGGACAGGTAATTCATCAGGGCCGACCATTTTATCAGGGTGAATGTGTTTATCAGTTAACATTTTCATATAGGTCTGCTTTAAAACTAGTAACTGTCTATATAGGTTTTCACAATGTCTGTATTCTCTGTAAAAAATATCACACCTATATGATGTCATGTGTGGATTATGTACATTTATTTTATCACATAGTTCACCTATGGTTCCCCTCACCTGCTCACAAATAGAACGGAATCCTAAATCTTCTAGTCGGTCCAGCTCAAAGGTTTCTCCTAGCAAAGGGTTAAATGGTTTTGCTGTCCGATGGACTGTGGTGGAATAGGAAGACACAGAAAAGGCTGCAACAAAGCACATCTGTTCTACAGAGTTCTCGCATTTTGCTGCCTTGTCCAAGAGCTCATGGTACTCCATATCTTCAGTTAACCTCTGCAGCATGGACAGAGGCTCATTGAAATTCACCTACAAAAAGCAAGAAGGGGGGAAAAGTCACTCACAATATTTCTGTTAATAGCCAAAATCATGATAACAGAATGTATTTGCAAATGAGAATATAAATAGCCTTTTCATATAACAGTAGCTAGTAGGCTGATCGTTTAAAAGCCACTAGGTTTTTATTGCTGTCTGTGTCCCCATAAGGGAGATTAACTCCCTCTATTTGTCCTGGTGACCGTTATCACCGAAAGTGAAAAAATCCCAAATTTTGGGTCGTCACCAGAACAGGAATAGGTAGGGAAACTTCTAATGGGACACTGGTTCTGCTGACCCTACTGCCCACCAGAGATTTCCCTCACTTTGAAGGGATTTCCTTTTTACTTCCTAACGTAAAGGAAGTGAAGTGAAATCTTCCCAATAGGACACAGGTGGCATACAAACTGACAGGGGTCATAACCCCCCCTTACTCTAATAAAGCTTTGGCTTCAGTTCTGTTTAGTTATTTTAAAGTAAAACTACACTTAAAAAAATTAAGAACATACATTGCTGCTTCACATTCTGTTTTCTAATTGAATGTAAATAAAAATTACTTTTCCATTCAATCTGCAATTTTCTAGTAAAAAAATTATTCAAATGTCACATCCATGTAGTATCAAATCCTAGGATTTTTCTGTACACTGTATGATTGGATCCTGCTATAGGAGGTTGATTTATGTTGAAACTTTGTATGGCAATTCATGTCCTAAAGGGATGCAGACACTGCAGCTTTTCTCATTACCACACTGGGGCCAGGTTCACACCATTTTCTGGACCAGATCTGGCAATTTTGCCACGTGCCACGAGCAGATGCAACCAAAGCCCAGAAATACCATAGGGATATATTCGGATGCTTTTTTGGTCCGGAAACATGGTGTGAACAAGCCCTGAAACAGGATATCTGGTGACAATGGAAACAGACCATTCATAAACGTTGTGTGGTAAGGATGACATGGTAAGGCAAGCTTTAATGACTTCAGAACAAACAAATATGAATGTACTTAACACTGTTTTTAATAAAAATGGGATTATACTTTAAGACACTGCAATATTGATAACGGCAAATATGGCCCTATTAGTATAAAAACATCTCAAACACCTGTGATACAAATGATGAATCCATTTGTTCTATGTGGAACACCTGATCCCATTTTGCCTTTTAGATTTCTGGAGCTATAAAAAGGCTGCCTTACATTGTCCCTTAGTGATTTACAATGCCTACTGCACCCAATGAACCTTTATATGTCCAAGTTCTAACACCATAGTTTCATAGCAATCACTTATTTTTAAAAAGATTGCATGAGTCACTTAACAAGATTATGTGAGTCACCAGCCCTAACACGTCTGGCATATGCCTTAGATCCCCTACTAAAACAAAGTCTTCTTATTTAATTAGGACATGGAAAAGTGGAATTTGTTCTGGCTTTATATTTAGCACATTGCATAAATTATTTCACTCCAGGACCCATTTTTCTCAGGCTGGTTTCTTCATATGACTAGAGGACGCCCTGTGTCTTCACATGAGATCTGCTAGCTATATGGTGTAATTGGTGGTGAAACTACAGGGGTTGCAGATCCTGCAATAGAGATTCTATCCTGTAACTTTTCACAGTCCCAGAGCTAAGTCCTACTACTACTACTACTGGTGAGTGGAGAATTCTGATGACCCCCTTTAGATCCAAAAATATACTGGAAGCACCGACCTTAAGAAGCTTTATCCCAGGGCTAACAACATGGAATGCCAAGCACAATAATACTCATCATGTTAATAGAGCCATACATTTTTCCTTCACTGGGACCATGGACTTTCAAAAGACATGCCAATGGGTGTGTGATTTGTTGATGGTGGCAGGGCCATCCCTATAATGAAGTGGCATCTCATTGGGGGGCGGTCAGGTTGTAGGGGGTGGCAGCAAGGGGGTCCGGCTACAGCATCCCTGGTTGCTAAGAGCACTTAGCAACCTGTGATGATCTGTGTGGCTTCCCACTCAGCTCTCTGATGTCACCGGTGGGATGCACTGTCTTGCGTCCTGACACTAAACAAAAATGTATCAGTACTTGTATCTGTGAGTACTTGGACAAGTATCAGTACTTGTACTTGCAAAAATGGTATCGGTGCATCCCTTTATATATTTATCATTTAAAAAATCATACATTAAAACAGAGATGTACAAATCCCAGGGGCTCAGTATGCTTCTTAAAAATGACAGCTGTCTCCCAACATTTGAATTTTTCTCTAGTCTAGTCTTGGAGCTGGAAAAGTATCTGTACTTGTACCGAGTATGGTACTTGGTATCTGAACATCCCTAATATTTATCAATGCGCTTAATGTTTATGTTCATTGCATGTCCCCTGAAAATGTTGTTTCCTCTTTAACGCGAAGACTGACTATTCTGTACTGTACTCTCTCCTCATATATTTGTTCCCTGGTCTTCTGATTTGCATATACAAGAAATACATTATTGAGAAACAATACATTGTAAGTTAAATAATTCTGCAATGAATCCTTTCCTGTTCAGTTTATGAGCTGATAGAGAAACATATACCAGCTTCTCCAGATAAATCTCCATATAAAATAGTATGGATGTCAAAAAGCAGTAGGAATCAAATGCAAAATAATTATAAATGAAACGTGTCTTTTAACAGTAAAATGTATCCTAATTTATGTAACTAGTTTTTTCCAAGGCTGGAAAAATATTAAACAAAACACATAAACAAAAAGGCATGTGGACCGCTGGGACTAATAATAAGGTCTGACTACCATTGGAGATGTGGACCTAGAAATGGAGGCTTTATCCCACCCAAATATACAAAGCCTCTGGGCTACAGGACCGGATTTATAAGGATTCTGAGAAAACAAAGTTTCTTCATTCTTCATATCAGACACAAACCCAGGACCATGTGTAGGTAAGAAACCTGATCAACACATATACACTGTCCACAATCCTGCCAACCAGTGCCTCACAGAGTGTATAGAGTGTATAAAAGTACTGAGCACATTTTGAGAGGCAATTGGGAACCATTTCAAACGTAGCTAAGATGGTAGCTGAATGCGATACATATGTTGCTTCTGAGTCAAAGGATAGAGACTACTGATGTAATGTTCCTCCCTAGGGCCCATTTTATGATGTCCTAATGTGAACCTTCATGGAAGTTTTCCCTAGTTTTAAAGCAAACCTATGCCCAAACTCTGCATACCAATTATTTATACATAGCTGTTAAAACACTCTATAACAAGCCCTCAATCCCCTCTCTAGCTATAGGCATTGTAGAGAAGTTTGTCTTCAAAGTCAACAGCAGAGGCTCAGAAAATCTTAGGGGTCTATATATAAAATATCTGTATAGCTTATTTATCCAAAGAAGCTGCATGTACAGTTGTGTGTTAACCAGCTGTTGTGAAAATGGGGCAAAAACAAATAGTATGCACCAATACTATTATCGGTATCGGTGCAGATAGAGTATTTGGGTGAATACTAGTACTTGCTCAAATGCTGCGATACTTACCTCCGATACCAGAACTTACGGTCAAAGGGAGATCTCCCTCTAACTGGCAGTGCCGAGGGATCATGGAGCCGGCTTCCTTTCCAATAAGGAATCCAGGCAGTGGGTTATGACCCGCCTCCTGGCTTCCTGATTGGTTAGGAAGCCAGCTTCCCAGACAATCAGGAAGCTGGGCGGCACGTAATGACCCATCTCCCGGCTTCCTGATTGGTCAGGAAGCCAGGCTGCCTAGGAACAAGTGAAGCTGGCTTCCTACCCAATCAGGAAGCTGGGAGGTGGGTCATGACATGCCAGCCGACTTCCTGATTGGCTAGGAAGCCAGCTTTACTTGTTGGTAGTCAGCCTGGCTTCCTAACCAATCAGGAAGCCGGGCGACACGCCATGATGTAATTTTCCAATACGGATTTCACTCTAATTGTTTAAACGAGGTCCCCTTAACCGCACACGTCACTGTATCTGAAAGGGCAAAAAAAGCTCCAGCAACCAAAATGTCATTCTGCTTCTACCTTTCATTCTCACACTCCATTCTAGCAACATAAAAGATAGAATCTGGTGCTATCAGCAATTAGAATTAATGAACTAGCCTTCTTTCAAACCCTTTTAGGTCCAGTAAGACTGATTGCTATGGGAAAACAAGCACAGTACTTTCAGTTCTTAAACACAGTGTCAGACCGGCCCCAAAATACTGCTATAAATTGGTTATGCAATCACTGACTCAGCAATTGTACAGGAGGGAAATGTCGTCACCTAAGTACAAGAAATCCATATTTCACCAACAACAGACATAAGTCTTTAAGTCGTAAACCTTCTCATTCTCGCTGCGCACATTAAGAAGCCATTAACATCTCTAGTGCCATACAGAACAGCTGCAGGTTCCCTGTAACAAGGCCGGCATCTTTCCTCATTACTCGTAATTCAGGAAACAGCACTGATTCCACACCTGAAATGAACATGATACATAATACAAAGTTCCTCTCATTTTTTATGTATTCACACTGAATTTCTAATAGTCATACATGGCTAGAACACACAACAGATACGCTACTCACAAATGTTTTAAGTGTTCTTACAATAGTTTTTTTCTAATGGTTTAGTGTAAGCCATTTTCATGCAATGTTTGAACGCACAACATTACCCGTGTACACGGTAATTTACACTTACAACTTGCTGCTTACAATCCAATAGGAAAGGGAAAGAAGCAAAAGGGAAACCTTGCTCGAGGAAGTTGTTGCTGGGCAAATTGCTGGCCAATCTGCTATTGGAGAATTCTTTGAACTCTGGAAGCGTGCTGTCCAATAATTCTATAGTATATGAAATATTCTATGCTTATTATAGCTTATCCTCACAGGCATTCCTTTTATAATGCCTGTCTTCCGTGATCCCATCCCTTTTTCTTCCCTGCTGTCCTAAAATTATATTGGTGTGTGTGTGTGTGTGTGTGTTTGTGTGTGGTGGGGTGTCACCCACTAAAGAAGGGGACAATTTAAATG